GCGAATTTGCGAGGCGATGCGATGGGCGAACGAAGGGACGAAATAAAATATACGGAAAGTTCAGCCACGGAGAACGGAACAGAAAACGCGGAAAATTGCACATTCTTGTTTTGGCCGTCTATTGACCCCCTTTTGATTTCTCTAGAGGCAGGTGCCGTATATCTAAAGAAAAATAAGATCATAATATATCTTTTTCTCTACAGAGAAAACGCGAAGAGTGAACATTTTTATGTATCATACACATACAAAAAAATTTTACTTTTCGAGTTTTCATCCTCTAAGGAAAAAGGGATTGACTCCCCTTCCCCTCGATTGATTCCGTCAACGAGAAAACATTTTAATCACATGTCATTTTGACGTGATAACTAAAAATCAGTATGACGAATTTGTAAGCCATTAAACATTCAGTAAAGCGCGGCCTCTCTAGACGATCAATATTATTATATAATATTTGATATTACACAGTATTTTCTGGCAAAAGAAAAAATCAGAGCGTAATTCTCGAATGTATAAGAGGAGATACAAAAATGAAGCTTTTAAGGTCTGGTTCCAAAGCAAGAATAATTAAAAAAAAAAATCTCGGTTCAATTTACTCTTCAACTTTTTTAACTCTGAGGTCCAATTTCGCAACTCATGATTAACTCTTAACCGAGGTTTAATTTATTCCTTATCTCGAGAAAGAGAGAGAGAATTCTAGAATTTTAATGCGCATCACGTGGCCTCGCAGTCGCACAAAGTAAACACTGATAGTACGTCATTTACGTATTACATCGAAGAGGTACACGAACAGTAGCATTATAGGTATATTTTGAAGAAAGAAAGTTCGTTTCTCAGACACACCCCGACTCTCGACAGCGACACTCGCCATTTTCTCCACCCGTCTTCGCAATCGTGGGACCGCGGATCGGAAAGTCGGACTAGCGCCGAATTCGTCGATCCTGGGCACGTATAAGACCATGTCACACTGTGCGTTATTGGACACTGAAGATTATTAACCGTTTAGAGGCTTTATTGAAGGTTGTGCTTGCAAGATATTATTTACCGCCGTTTCAAATTATTTTAAAGTCGAAACGAAATAGCCCCGTCCTATATTGAGCTTCCAGACTGTTTGTTTTAAATTGTTTACAGAGGGCATCAATAATACTGTACAAAATAATTTTACAATAATACCAAGTCCAGGAATCGCTTAAGAATTGTTGCGAATTAGAGATTAAAATTTAATCAGTCAAATATTTTTAACTTCAATCCATTTCATTTTTTAATTGGTTGAATTTTAATCTTCAATTTGCAATTATCTCAATTTTTAATACATAGTGTGACACGGGCTTTATGAAATTATTGGGAATGGATTTTGATCGAAATAGTTCAATTATGCCCTAGATTTCTATTGTGCCCTAATAGCAATTTATTAGTAATTACAATGATTAAAGGTTGGGATATAATGGGCCAGTAATGCACCAATAAATTGTGTTACCAAAATCTTTTCTGGGAAAAACAGTATAATTCCACTTGGAATCTATTTCCAATAGTTCCATAATACATGTCCTGTTTCTCGTCTGCAATTTCAAAATTTAAACAAAAAGAAAAAAAGTGAAAAAAAAACATTCGTGTGTGATTATTATTCTAACTAATGACGTAAGATTATACAAAGTTAAGTGTCCTTAACGTTAAGCACACCCCGACACATAAACATTTGGAGAAAGTAATGTACGACGGTATATCAGGAGACATCGAGGGCCTCCCCTTTTCTCCTTTCTACTTCCCCTCCGAATTCCATTCTTTCGCGTATTGAAATAGGCATACGAAATGGAGAAGAGATGTTGAAATGTGATTATTCTACGTACAATCGCGGACAATCACAGACAATCATTTACACGTATCAAGAATTATCGAGGTAATGGACGCACGACACGCATTTCATTCTGTTAGATAGAACCGCGTTTGGACGAGAAACTCTTTTATTCGCGTCTCAATGGAACGCGACGATCGGAGGAATGCTCGAATGACGACCGTATTTTTATTATTATAATTATTTTATATATTATATTTATTTATTACTTATAACTTAAATATATTGTGTATTTATTTGTGGTATATTTATATCAAATATTGTATATTATAGTTTCACAATTATTTCTCTAATTAAAGCAGTCATTACTTTTAAGTCGTACAATTAAAAAAATTTATTTGAAGAAATTAAAAACTCGATGTAAAGGTACATTTTTTTCTAATCTGCGCGATCAGGATAGTTGCCGATCATATTTTTTGCTCCTAAATATTTTTAATAAATGATTTTTTGATATTAATTCTATTCTATTTTTTATTTCTTGATTCGATTCGCTCCACTCGTCCTGCTCCACAATGCCCGGAGTCGGTCAACATCGCGCCAGCGACATACAATCAAATTAGTAAACACTCCGATGTTGATCGGCACTCGTAGCTCGTCCAAATGCACATTTCGAGAGGAGCAGCCGCGTACCTATCGATTTTATCGATCATCAGCATCACAACGCATAAACTGCTCCCGTGCAAAGGCGCGTTTATTTATCGAATCGTTTGTATAAACGGCCAAGTCAGTCCAGATGAATATTTAGAGGCACGCAATACAAAGTGCTATTTTAGGGAAACGAAAATCAACCCTCGCAGTTCGTACGGCCTAAAAAGCACGACCTAAAAAACACCGAATAAACGCGCCGTTACGGTACATTTACGGATGCTCCATTCGTTTCTGCACTTTCTCTTCGGATGCCTCTCTCACAAATTCCGTACTGGAGATACGATTCTCATTTATGGATTTCAAAAAATGACCTCGCTTCTGCTGTGGTAGATAGACTTCTACTAGAGTTGATTAAAGGTTTGTTCTTTTCAGCTGAACTTGTACCGTTCATTTTTCCTTTTTTCTTCCCTACGGAAAAAGAACGAGAGATCTGACACAAAAAAAATACAGCTAAAAAGAACAGGCCTAATATCTTTTCTTCATTCACTTTTTTGTACTTATAAGGCAAAAGGATTCTCGCTGTCTATTATTTGAGTTATTTAATTATAAGACGCTACGCGAGCCGGTGATTACGTAATTTCAACATGTTGATTCAATGTTGGAAAATTCGTTAAATTTAATATTTCACGTGTCAAACGGTCCACTCAAATCTTTGTGTTAACTTAACACAAAATGAATACGTGTTAAAAGATATAACAAATATATTTTAAAAAATAAGCACAAAAAGATAATGATGATTTGAAAATAAAAATCGTGGAAAACTTTTTTTTTTTTAATAGTAAAATTAATATTTAGGGGATATGTTAAATATTAAACATATAGTCTTACTACTAAAAAATATTGAATATCAATGTAATACAAAATATTTAAATGACATAATCATACGTGCAAGTTATATTAAATTAACACTCGAATATGTCAAAAATTCAACAAGGATTTGATGGGACCATTTCAAACACAATAATAAAATATATTTACTATGATAAATTGATGATGTGTAAAGAACGTGTTTCAGATTTCGAAATTTCCAATTTGAACTAAAAGTTTAATTGACTGATAGTTAGTTATTATAAAGTGACGATTTTTGAATATTTGAAAATGTAAAAATATCGACTCTTGTCTTTTGAAATCAATATTTTTACCTATTATATTATTAACATAGTCCCTTGAATTTTAAACTATCAAATTCAACGGAAAAAAATCAACTATGTGAGGAAAATTGTAAATTCAGACACTTTGGAATTATAGACAATAGTTATACAATTAAAGGAAAAGAATTTCTTAATCACGAAACACAAATACGAACTCTTTGAGATCGGTCATAGAATCGAGCACGTTCTGTATTGCATTTCGTAATTAGTGAGCGTAGAGGAAAAAAAAAAAAAAAAAAGAGTACCTCACGTAATTATTGCGCGTATCGTGCGATATCTAAGCATCCTGCACCTCAAAAATAAATCGATAGGATGTATAGAGATTAACATAAATGTGTACGAAAATATTTTTCAACGTAATTCGTCAGACATTTTGGATGTATGTTATGCTCGGGAACACTTTGCATAGATGAACCGATCCTAAAGAGGCTAACTTTTGCAGTATACTACTTATTTGTACTAATTCGATCGAACTTTATTCCATTCTCGCTTCTCTCCTCGAAATCGGTTACGCGCAGATCAATATTTATTGGCGCGTTTCCTAAATAGCGAATCTCTATTAATGTCAGTATAGAGATTCTGTCGTGTAGTAAAAGTATTCGTCACCGGCGAGTAAAGTGCTCAACCGAATAATCCCCGTCAAGATTATGTGTTCAGAAGTTCTACGATACTCTTTACGACGTCGTTAGAGATAAGATAGAATTCAGAGGTCTATATTCAGAGAATAATACAATCCTTCTACCAATTATATATACATACAATTATAAATGTATATTTCATGTATTCGTTTTTAAAAATACAGTAAAATTACCGTTGTATGGATATAATGTGGAAACTTTGCACCCAACATGTCCGTTCAAATCTTTTCCATCTGTATGTAGTTGCCGAACCCGTTAATTACAGCTTCATTGTGCAATAAGATTATATTTAAAATATTTATTATTTTATTGTCACATCTAAAAAAATATAAAAATATATAAAAATAATATCTTATGCATGTGAGAGAAATATATATTGCAATATATAATATATATTTAGCATAATTATAAGTTTCCTAATTAGAAAATTATTAATGCATTTAGGGATAATACATGGATTATATCAGATAATTATCCCTCATACAGAGGGATAGCTATCTAATATAATTCATGTTATGGATCTATTATAACAAATATAAGAATATATGCACTTACAATATTATTGTCCTCATTATTATGATAAAATTAATTCTTTTTGGCTAACATAAATGTGATAAATTTATATGTGGTATGATTTGCTTCTGACATTCCAAAGCAGAAGAATTTCACGTCCTAATTTTCCATTCTTAACTTCAAGTTATTTGTAATAAATTATTAATTTTTTAAAAGCTTTAACTGATCAAAAGCTTTCTTTTGTGCAATATTGTGATACATTCTTACATATATTCTTGAGGAATATCTCGATTTTCGTATTTTGCTTTTAATAATTGCTTTTTCAGTAGATGTGAGAAAAGATAGAAGCTTTTGTATCGTAGGTGTTTTCTCATATTGCTTGGCTTGTTGTTTACATTGAAACAAAAGCAACTCCTTTGCAGTTAATTTTCGTTTCTGTCTCAACGTCTTTTTTCTATGATTTAACTTAATTGTTTCTGCCATTGAATTAGTTTGCTCAGTATTCTTGTCCAATATAATTTGTGGCTGGTCAAACAAACAGGATTTAATTTCTTCCGGAGTATCTTCAAATAATGTTATTTGAGGTATATCTGATACTTCCATCATATTTGAAATTTCTGTTTTTATAATCTCTGTTTTTAGAGTAACCGTTTCTTCTGTTGCAACCGATGTTTGTGGGTTTATTTTAATCATAATAGGTACACTAGAAGCTGGCTTATTCGGCAAGTTTAAGGAAGGTGCAACACCACGTTTCAACTTTCTTACTCTGAAGGTTACTAGATAGTCATTGTCGGCAAAATGCCGATAGCACACAGCACACTTGCTTATCTGCTCATCAGTCATATGTTGAATTTTCTCAGAATAAATCAGGCTTTTCCATTTCTGGAAGAGTGCTGGATTCTTAGGGATCTGGTGAGATGGGGCATCTCCACCTGAAGGACATCCTAAGACGCAACATGCCCTGCCCATTGCCTAAAACAAGATTACGTATTTATATCAATTAAGCATAACTTATTAACGTAGATATTGGTAAGTTAATAAGCATAACTTATTAACTTACCAATATCTCTTTAACTAGGTAATTAATTAGGTAAGTGACTTAAAGATATGCAATAGGTAGAATGCTTACAATACTCCCAGGAAGCTTCAATTTTATAGTTATATTTGTTATTAGTATATATATTATATTAGTAGTTTAATAATATCCTTATAAGATAAAAATAATAAACATTGAAATGTACTTTAACTGTACCTCTGAAGGTACATTCTTCTTCTTTGTTCAGAATAAAGTTTAAAAAGAACACTGGGGATACTATGATCATCTTACCTACCCACTTAGGCTTGGTTTTTCATTATCTTTTCATTATTGAATTCATAAACTATGTAAACTGTATTTTAAGTCATCTATGTAAACAATCTAATAATCATTGAAGCCTGTACTTTTTGTTGCATTAGGACTAAAACTTTTATTTCGCTTTTATTATTTTATTTATAAAGAAAACAATATTGGAATGTATGACATAATCTTACACAATCTGGGATTAGATTTAATCTGACAGTAACATATAAATTGTATTTTTCAATTGTAGTGAATCATTAAATGTATGATTTTGTGATGAGTTAACTTTAAAGTTACCACACAGCTACGAAATCATTTAGTGATGAATTACTGCTGGAAAAACAATTTATATATTTTTGTCAGATTAAGTGAGGTTAAGTTTAAACCATAAATTAATCAAAATATGAAAAATTGAGTCTTATGCCTATTTCCACCAATGTAGAATAACTTTAATCTCGGTTCAATTTGCTCGTCGTCTTTTCATAGTTGTAAAAATAAGAAAAAGATGAAGAGTAAGGTAAACCGAAATTATAAAGTTAATCTACGTTGGTGAAAACGGACAAAGTAAATATTTACTCACAATATCTCCACCATAAAAGTCATTCCGGTATTCTGCAGCATTCTTCGTGGATTCATCAAAATCGCTCGTACACTAGTGCCAGTACGTCCATTTTCGTGGAACTGTGTAGTTGCATACTGGCGTCACTGGCGATAAAGTTGTTAACACGATTTATATTAAATCCACTGATCTCGAAAAAAAAAAAAATTGTAATAGCAATATTAAATGTAAGGAAAATAGACTTGTTAATTGACATGCTTTCTAATTGAATTTTATAAGTAGCCAAGAAAGATTACGAAAACATTAAAGTGATAAAAAGAAATTAATAAAATTAAAAAAAATATTGAAAATTAATAAAATTAAAAATTAACATTCGAAGATACTCTCCGGTAGAATTTAAATCCTACTTGCATCAACTTTTAACGTAATTCTAATAATGTGCTGTGAGCTTATCGACAGAGTAAGAAAATGGGCGCCGCGTAGTTTCTAAACCGAGTAAGATGGAAACCGTTGGTACTCGGTTACTTTCGGAGAGGCAGCGGCAGGTGGCAGTAGCTGGGCACTGAAGAAAGTGAGAACGGCGCGAGAATCGGCCATCTTTTCTCGCGGCCAACCGGTGCCGGGTGCCGTCGCGTCCGTTATCGTTCGTGCGCACGCGTCGGCGGCACTCGAATCGTGCGAGAGGCTGCTACGCGAATATTTGAAAAGTGCGGTCGTAACGCGTACCGGAGCGTCGACGTTCTCGCGTTCGCTCGGATCGCCCGGTGGCCGCGTCTCGTCGCCTCGCGAGTGTGGCATGCGAGGTAGCGCGCTGGTAGCCGTTTACCCGCGTCACCCACCCACGGAAGATTATTATCGATGAGCCGCTGTGACGCCCCGGCGGAACGACGATGCAGCGAAGTGGTAAGTGAGAAGCGATGAGATGAGACGCGTCGTTCCCCGCGCGCACGGTCTCTCTCTCTCTCTCTCTCTCTTCTTATTTTTCCCCCTTCCGGACAGGTGAGAGAAAGACAACGGGAGACACACACGGCGCCGACCATTTTGGCAGCCGCCAATTTCGTCGTCAATACGGCGCAGCCGGTCGATACTCCGCGAACCGACCTAACCTACCAATTTAATCATTTAATAGTCACTCCCCCGCTGCCCCCCTCTCGCCCGACAGCTTGGATTAATTAGATCTCGTCAACGCTGTTTTTCTTTTTTCGCTCCCTTTCCGCATAGTGGCTGTAATTGCGGGACAAATTAAGGAGATCGGGTAATTTGGAGCACTAATCTCGCGCCGTCAGTCTGCCCGTCAGCCCGTCTCGTGTTTTGTTACCAAACGAGGAAGATAGAAGGTGAGGGAGAGAGTAAGAAAATCGAGTTTTTATTAATTGTTAATGTTTATCGATATACTGTCTTAATGTTATAAAATTGGACTTATTTTTGGTGCATGTATTTGTTCGCGATGTAGACAGTCGTTGATTTTAACAGGTGTCTTATTTTCGAGGGCCATCTTTGTATATGCTTTCCTTTTAGATGACACACTCGACACAAACGTTGTTCTACACTGAAAACAATTTTGGTCCAATGAATGATCATTAATCAATGTTCGACTTATTAATGTTATTTACATTAATTAACGTCCAATTTATTCATTGATACAATAACTGAATTCATTTATATAATTATATATTCATTCTTGCAATATATATATGTATAAATTCTAGTAATAGTTTTATAACCTAAGAGTTCATTGGACCAATTTTCATTAATTAAAGGAATACTTTATTGTATTTACGTACATTTTTGGTTCAGTGTATCCTTCTTAACATATTCAACGAATGATAAAGATAGAACGATGTTTGTGTCGAGTGTGTATTCTAAAAGGAAAGCATACTTTGTCACTCGAGTGATGCTAGTTATTATTCTCGGTGTCATTTGCCGCGAGTGATTTTTTCTTTTGGTTTTTACTGTAAACATAAATACCGCATTGAAGGTCTTCCTGTGAATTGGCATAACCATAACTTATTATCATGGAAAAATGATGAAAGAGAAAAATAAATCTGATCAGATAATTTTTGCAAAATTGTCAATTATCTGATTAATTTGTAATATGAAACAGAAACAATTCTTACTTAACGATCTTATGAATGAAATATTCTGAAAAAAGTAGGAAAATCACGACAATCCTAATCGGAATCTCGATATTTATTTAGTTATTTTATTTTATTTATTATTATTTAATTATTTTTTATCTAGAAATTCTTTTACACCGAGGAATGTTATTTCATTTTGAATTCCTGTTTCCACTAATATATGTATAATATATAGATTAACTTTAATTTCAGTTCTATATTTATCTTTTCTACAGATGTAAGAACTGGAAAGAATGAAGAGTACATTGAAAAAGTTGAAATTAATCTGTGTTGTTTAAAAACAAGCATATAAACATTTTAAAAATTCTAATTGATATATTCTGGAGATTCGAAGATTTTTGAAATGAAGTATTGTAATGGAGAATAATAAATATCTTAAATTCACGCTTTAAATGTAAGAGAAAAGAACCAGATTACTATTTTAAATATCTAATAGTTCCCATCAATGTAGACTAACTTTAATTTCTATTCAGCTGATTTACCTTTTTTTTAGTTCTCAGAATTATAGAAAAAGATAAATCAGTTGATTCGAGATTAAAGTTAATCTCGAGATTAATCTACATTAGTGGAAACAGGTTTAAACGTCTCGACATTATTCTGAAATTGGTTTCTGTTGTTCGTTTCCGTAGTCTGACCTCGCTTGTTCGTGTTCCAAATAGTTATTCACGCAATATACAACACGTCACCCGATTAGTTTCCCATTAAGATAAGATTGCCTGTTGTGTTGGTCCTGCATAGATAAAGCACTGCTATTTACACGGACGTCTGTTCCTGCAATCGATCGCGATGGAAAGGGGGGGTCTGACACAAAAGTTACATAGTTAATGTATTCAGGGCACGTCTTATGGAACTGTGCGGAATAGAATCCGATCGGAATTATTCCTTAGAAATTACAATTCAAGTCTAAGGAATAATCGAACATTTCCGATCGAATTACACACTGGATATCTAGAGAATAATTGATCCGCGATCATAATTCATTCCGAACAATTCGACAATACGTGGATTTAACACCAAAGATTTCAAATCCACACCACATTTTGGTAAATCCATACATTTTGTATATATCATTATTTCGATAGTCTAACAAAATTATTTTCAGATCTACATCTTGCTGTATTTTTAAATACTTCAGCAAAACCTTTTTTTTTTCGCAGCAGCTTCTGAAATATGGCGTTAGTTGTTACAATTACTATATATAAGATGAATAACGATTTTATGTTCGAACTGCATATTCATTTATTTTTTGTATTTAATAAACAGATGTCTCAGGAAATAAAAAGTATTGACAAAACTACAAAGTGTAAACGCGATAATGATAATATTTACGGTTCGCGCGTTTTACCGATGGAGACTCTCGAAAATAGATCTGCGAGGAATTCCGCAGGGTTAAAGAATCAATTCTCTTAATCGATTAAGGAGGAAGAATGCGAGAGGAGGAAAGTAGGAGAGCGATGGTGGAAGGAATGAAGGCAAGTGGGCGAGGATAGAAGAGAGCGCTTCTTCGTCGCACGTGAGAGAAGCTCCGAGCGATCGCGAATCGCCCGAGTCGATGTTGCCTTTAGTGCGATTCGCGTATCCGACACGCGAACACGCGATCGTATCTTCCGCATCCCATATCCAAGGATATTAACTTTATCGTACTGAAAACTCACGTGACTCACGATAAACACACGTTAATCAACGAGATACATCGGGATTGTGAACGTCGCAATTATCCGCGAAAATCTGTGAGAATCAAAAAAATCGGTTTGAATCGAGATAAATCAATCGAGTCGTCATTTTCTGTATTTGTATATTTTTAGATTTGCGGGTTCCTCGTTTTCTCGAATCGTTTAAACTCTCGAATCTATAGATGGACCGAATTGTATCTACATCTCCGTTTGAATTTCGATAACGGAGGTATTTCTGGAACGGTCAATTGTTCTTTCGAGATTACGTCTCTCAAACCGCACTTTTAACCTTTTTGTCAATGCAAAGGTTAAACTTGTATTAAATATTTATATATTTGTGCGACTTTTCTTCATTATAACGTTTCAAAAACCTCTGTACTCTTCGAACGACGAGGAACAGTTTTGCACAGACCTTATCTCGTTTTCACTTTTATATTTTTAGATGGAAACACGATAGTGGAAAAAGTGAAATTAAGCATGAAAATAATGGTTTTGTTAAAATATTTAAAACTTTAACTGTTACAATTCCGAAAGTAATTTTGTTGGACCATCAAAATAATTATATAAGACGCTCAAACTGATTACTAGAATGTCAAAACTTTTTGCAGTATCGGTCATCATATTTAAAATTCTTCCGTAATTATTTTGAGAGAGAGAAGAGAGGTTCAACAAACTTATTTTTAAATCTATATCTAGCTAAATTTTTAGATACTTTAGCAAAATCATTCTTTCCGTGCATCAACAGAAGGATTAACCTGTATACATCTCTCGCCGAACATTAGCGTTAATCGCGATCGTACAGACATTTAAATTCACACCCGAGATTACCCGGTCGACACGCCTAATCGGTCGTATATATCGCGTGATATTTAAATTCACACCCCGGGGATCCGTACATTTTGGAAAATCTATTTCGGTCGATGGCACCCCTCAATGCAGCGTATATAGTCACTCACGCGATTCGCCGTGAAAGAGTTCGACGATAACGCAAGGATATCAGACGGATGATTAGGATGGAGACTTCCACGATCGCTCTGCAAGACGCACGTAAGATTTCCATTTCTACTCTCTAAAATATTTAGGTTCAATCTCACAACTCACGATGAACTCTTTAATTCGAGATTTAGAAAAAGATGAGGAATAAGTTTAACCTCGGTTAAGAGTTGTGAAACTGGGTCTTCAACAGGGAAATCTCACTTTTAAAAATTGTCACTTGAACCATTCTTTTGTTGAACACTGACTCCATTGTTGGCATTCTTTGTCACTCCTTAGACTTCATTCCATAGATTTTAGAGAGTATCTCTTTGTGTTTTTTTAGAATTTAATGTGGCTTTGACAATTCTTACATTCTTATATTATTTCAA